TGGGGCTCCCTGAGGGCCATCTTGGACCCGTGTTGTGCCGTTTTGGGGCTCTCTCGGACTGCCTGGAAGCCCTTTCGGATGTTTGTGGGGCGATTTTGGAGCCTCCCGGGACCGCCGTCTTGGAGCGTCGGGAAGCCGAAAAGAGGAGAACCCCAAAATTCACCAAAAAACCACAGAAAACTAATGAGTTTTGCCTCTTGGGGCCTTCTTGGGAGTGCTATTGGAGGCTTGAGGTCACGTCGGTCACTCTTGGAGCGCTCTTGTGCTGTCTTGGGGGTCTCTGGGACGTCTCCGATGACCCCCCTGAGCGCCCAAGGTGTGCTGCGAAGGCTTGTCAAAACGCCCTGCAAGGCCCGGGGGGCCGCTTCGAGGCCCGTCCGGAGGGTTCCAAAGCCCCAAATCCCGGGAGTCCGGTTTTGGGGGGGGGGGGGGAACGGGTTTTCCCCCCGCCCGGGCTTATAAAAATATAGGAAGAATAATATATATATATATATATATATACACATATATATATATACATACATACATACATACATACATACATACATACATACATACATACATACATACATACATACATACATACATACATACATACATACATACATACATATACGTAAATACATACATACATACATACATACATACATACATACATACATGCATACATGCATGCATGCATGCATGCATGCATACATACATACATACATACATATATAGATACATACATACAAACACACACGCATATATGCATGCAAACATACGTGCATGACTGCATGCATGCAATACATACATATATACATACATACATGCATGCATACATACATACATAAATACATACATACATACATTCATGCATACATACATACATACATACATGCATACATACATGCATGCATGCATGCATGCATGCATGCATGCATGCATGCATACGTATATACATACATAGGTACATACATAGATGCATGTATGTATGCATAGATACATGCATAATTATATATACACATGCATACATACATATATACATGCATGTATACATACATGCATACGTACATGTATGCATGCATGCATGCATACCCACATGCATGCATGGGTGCATGCATGTACGCATACACTGATGCATGCATATATACATATATATAAATATATATATATATGCATGCGAGCATGCATACATACGTACGCATATACCTATATACAAACATGCATACATACATGCTTACCTACCTATATACCTACCTACCGACCTACCTACATACATACATACATGCACGCAAACAAGCAGTCATACATGCATGTACGTAAACATACGCATATTCATATACATCCACAGATCCACATGATATACAAACACATGCCCATGTACATATACATATGCATATTCCTTCGATCTACGAAATTACATGGAGAAAACCGCACATATGACCCACACACACCCGGACATACGCTCCAGGCCCACCCTGATGACCGAAAAGGCCCCCACGGGAGCGCCAAGACAGCCCACCAATGCCTTCAGACGGTCCTCATCCGAATTTCGAGAGGGTCCAAGAGCGGGTCGAGATGGCCCAAGCTGGCCCAACATAGCGGAGCAAGCGCCCAAACCAGCCGTCAGCTGGCCCAAGACGCCCCAAGAAGCTGCCCAAAAGAGCCCCGAGTGCCAAGTTCCATAAGTTTTACGAAGGTGTTGGAGAGACGTTCACGTGCGCGCGTGTCCAGATCTGGCGCGCTCCAAGGCGTCCCCAGACGCGCCCAAGCTCGCTCTGCGGCGGCCCACGAAGCCTCCAAAACGGTTTGAAAACAGCTCCGGAGGGCCCCAAGACGGCCCACGAAGCTGCCAAGACGGCCCGAGGGGCCCTTAGACGGCCCCAGGAGGCTCCAAGAGGCACCGAGAGGCCCCCAAGAGGCCCCAAGGGAGCCCAAGACGCCTCCGGGCAGAACACTTACAACTTCAATTACTTTTTGTCACGGACTTTTGCTTCGTTACCTTTTCGGGCGTCGGCCGCTCCAAACGACCTCCGGGCCTTCTCAGATCGGCCCCCAAACTCCCCGACGGTCCCGACGAGTCTCCAAGACGCTCCAAGACGCTCCACATCCTCACACTCCTCCTCCTCATCCCTCTCCTCCTCCTGCTCGTCGCATTCCGCATCCGCCGCCTTTCCCTCGTTCCCCTTCATTCCTCCTCCTCCTCCTCCTCCTCCTCCTCCTCCTCCTCCCTCCTCCTGCTCGTCGCCTCCCTCGTCCCCCAACTTTTACCATTTTTTCTCAGACGACCCGGGAACCAAAATCTGATGCTCAGTTGTCCATGGAAATACCTCCTCCTCTTCCTCCTCTCTCTCTCTCTCTCTCTGTCGTCGTCATCCTCCTGCGCCTTCTCACTTTCTCTCTTTCTGCCCCCCCCTCCTTCACCTCATACTCCTCCACCCCTTTCTCCTTCTCGTCTTCTTCCTCTGCCATCGCCTTCTCTTTTCCTCCACCACCCCTGGGATCCAGAACTTGATGCATAGTTTTCCTTGAGGCATCCCTGACCTTCCCCCCCTCCTCCTCCTCCTCCTTCTCCTGCTTCTTCTCCACTTCTTTCCCTGGGACCTGGGACTCTCCCTTTCCCCCTCCTCGTCCTCCTCTTCGTCGTCGTCTTCCTCCTTAATCGCCGCTTTCTCAGGAGCTCAAGGGAAACCTAAGAGGACCCCTGACAGCCCCCAGACCCCATCCCTTCCCTTCTCCTCCGTCGCCTCCTCCTGCTTCTCATCCCTCCCATTTCCCTATGCCCCTCCGTTCTCCTCCTCATCCTCCTCCTCCTCATCCTCTTCATCACTGTTTTCATCATCCTCTATCGCCGTCTTCCCTTTTCCATCCAGCGCCCCTCGGAACCAGAATTTGATGCGCAGCCTACCTCGAGACTTCCCGTTGCTTCTCCTTCTCCTCCTCCTCTTGCTTCTCCTCCCTCCACTTTCTCTCTGCCCCTCCCTCCTCCTCTTCCGCCCGCGCGCCAAGTGGGCATGGCCAGCAGAGGAGAAGGAGCAGGAAGAGGGAAGGAGAAGGAGGATGAGGAAAGAAGGGTGAGGATAGCGAGGAACAGGCGGGGGCCCAGGAAGTCGGGAGGAGAGCGGAAGGTGGAACAGGAGGAGAGCGCGGCAGACGGAACAAGCAGAGGATGGGTTTTAGTAGGAAAGATGCTCTCGCCGAGGCGCTGGCCACATCCCTCATTCCATATGGTGCTGCCGCTTCGCTCGCAGGGTTTCCACGTATTCGGTCATGGCCATCTCGCCCATCGGTGGCCACATCCCAATCCAGGAGTAGCGCCACCACCGCAGCACTGGCCACACTCTACAATCGGAGCGGTACCGCGCCTCAGCGCCAGCCGCGACCCTCATTGCATATGGTATTGCTGGTCGCGCATCAGCCTCATTCCTGGTTGGGATTGGTGCTCTCGCCCAAGCGCTGGCCACATCCCTGGTCTACGAGTCGCGCTGCCGCCCACGCGCTGGCCCCTCCTTCATTGGGAACGGTACCCTTGCAGCAGCGCCAGCCACATCTCTGCTTGAGTGCTGTGCTGCCGCTCCGCTCACACAGTTCCCACAGACCTCATTGAATGATTGTGTTCTCACCCGAGCTCCAGCCACATCCCTGTCCAGATACGCTGTTACCGCCCCAGCGTCGCCCGCATCCCTGAGTGGGATGGGTACTCTCGCCTGAACGTCGGCCACATCCGTCCGCGAGCGTCACCTTACGCGCTAAACAATTGACGATCGCACCTGCCTCTCGCTCGTGTTGGGCGATTGCCGTACCTGGCGTCGGGCTTCGACCGCACCGCACGCGCCAGGTCCGTTGCCAGTGGGGGTTCCGTCAGGTTAGCCTGCCCAACGTGGGGTTAAGGGGTGGTTTGTAACAACACTTCATTTGCATCAGCAGGTTCACCGTAGCGCAGAAAACATCGCAGATGCAAGGATCAAGATTAGAAGGTGAAGCGCAGCGCACCTTACCGTCTTGTGCGTTTATATATATATATATATATGTGTGTGTGTGTGTGTCTATAATATGTCTATATGTCTATATGTCTATATGTATATGTATGTATATATATATATATATATTGGAGAGAACGTGATCCACCGCCGCTTTACTGTGGAAAATTCCCCCCGCTCTTCCTCTGGAACCCGGGGGTCCCCCCCGACCCCCCCCGCCCACCGAAAATCCCCTCCCCCCCTGCTGGACCCCCCCCTCCTTCCCCCCGGCAAACCCTCCCCCTTCCCTAACGCCCCCCCCCCACACCTCTGGAAAACCGGGGGGGGTCACTACCGGTTCGAACCCCCCCCCCCTCCGGAAAACCGAGGGGGGGTCACTACGGTTCGAACGAAAACCAGAGAGGGGTCACTACCGGTTCGAACCCCCCCCCCGTCCGAAAACCGGGGGGGGTCACTACCGGTTCGAACCCCCCCCTCGAAAAACGGAAGGGTCACTACCAGTTCGACCCCCCCCCCCGCCCTCGAAAACCGGGGGGGTCACTGCCGGTTCGAACCCCCCCCCCCCGAAAACCGGGGGGGGTCACTACCAGTTCGACCCCCCCCCCCCCCTCCACGCTCACCGCCAGCAAACAACTCTGAATCCCTACCACCGTCCGGTCACCACTGTCCTCACCAGTGCCCCCACCACTGTCGCACTGTCCCCAGTGTCCCCGCCACTGTTCCCACCACTGTTCCACTCCCCACTTTCTCCACGGCCCCAACCACTGTCCCATTGTCCCCACTCTCCCACTGTCCCACTGTCCCCGCCGCTGTCCCACTGAGCTGTCCCACTGTTCCCACCACTGTCCCCGCTGTTCCCAACACTGTCCCTACTGTACCTCTGCCCCATTATCCCACCGCCGTCCTCGCCACCGCCCTCACCACTGTCGCCGCCACCACTGTACCCTCCACTGTCCCACTGTTTCCACCACATTCCCAGTCCCCACACCACTGTCCCCACCACCACCGTCCCCACCACTGTCCCACCGTCCCCACTGTTCCCACCATTGTCCCCGCTGTCCCCACCAGTGCCCCCACCAGTGTCTCACTATCCCCACTCTCCCCGCCATTGTCCCACCACAATCCCACTCTCCCCACTTTCCCCACGGTCCCCACCACTGTCCCACTGTCCCAACTGTTCCCACCACTGTCCCACTGTCCCCGCCGCTGTCCCACTGCGCTGTCCCACCGTCCCCACTGTCCCCATCAATGTCCCACTGTCCCCACTGTCCCCACCACTTTCCCCACTGTACTACTGTCCCACCACTGTAATCCCCACCGCCTTCACCACTATCCCCACGACTACCGTCCCCACCACTGTCCCACTGTCCCCACCACTGTCCCGCTGTCCCCTCACCACTGTCCCCACCACCACCGTCCCCACCACTGTCCGCACCACTGTCCCACTGTCCCCGCACCACTGTCCCCACCACCACCGTTCCCACCACTGTCCCAACATCCCCACCATTCTCCAACTCGCCCGAGGAGCGGGCATCTCTTGCCGGCGGCGAGGGGGGGGGGGGCGGGGTTCGAACCGGCAATGACCCCCCTCTGGTTTTCGAGGGGGGGGGAAAGAGGGGGGGTTCGAACCGGTAGTGGCCCCCCCGGTTTTCGAGGGGGTGGGGGGGGGTTCGAACCGGTAGTGACCCCCCCCCGGATTTCGAGGGGGGGGGGACGGGTTAGGAATCCCCAGTGACCCCCCCCCGGTCTTCCGCCAGCAGCGGTACAACATATTGTACATGCGAGAGAGCGCGCCCATGGTACACTCCCACCTTGGACCTCCCCGGCCGGAAGCCCCCCTCCCCTCCTCCTTTTTGTCCGCCCCTCGGAAGCTAACCTCCCCCCCCTCCCTCTCGCGCTTCGCAAGCACCCCCCCCTCACTGTCCAAAGGGGGCTGGCTTAGCTACCCCCCCCCCCTTGGACCTCCCCTTTTCTTCCGCCCCTTGGAAGCTACTACCTCTCTCCCCCCCTTTCGCGTTCTGGAAGCTACCCCCTCTCTCCCGTTCCAAAAGGGGGGGGCTTAGCTGTCCCCCCCCCCTTTGAACCCCCCCTGTCAAAAGCCCCCCCACCCTCCCCCCTTTTGGGGCTAAACGGGGGCCCTTCGGCGGAGCACCCTATGGGGCGGCCACGAAACATCTGAGGGGTGCGCCGACATGAAAGGTAGAACTGCATGCGGGCGCTACCACTGGGGCCTTCTGTGGAGCATCCTATGGGGCCACGAAACGTGTGAGGGGTACGCCGACATGGAGGTGAAACTGCATGCGGACCCTGCCACTGGGACCTTCGGTGGGGCTCCTTATGGGGCCACAAAAACGTATGAGGGGTGTGGCGAAATGGGGGTGGGGAGGAGGGAGGACCGGGAGGGGGGGAGGAGGAGGAGTGAGGAGGAACGCGGGGCGCTCTGCATAGAACGAGGACCCAACACCACAGGATGGTTGGGCAAAATCCCTGGCCCCAACCTTCCACCCATAGGGGAGCGAGGAGGGAGGAGGGAGGAGCGCGGAGCGAGGAGGGAGGAGGGAGCGATGAAGAGGCGACGACGACAACGAAGACGCTGGGAGGCGCGGCCGGGAGCGGCAACCGATGCGGAGGGTCTCCCTCAGGTCCATCTGGCGCGCCGCCAGCAGGCAGGCCTGGGCGGAGCGACCAACCAGAGGAGGTGATCAGGCCCATGCCATCTACGCAGAGGAGGGCACGGAGGAGGGAGGGAGGGGGGGCACGGAGAGGAAGGGCAGGGAGGAGAGAGATGGGAGGAGTGAGGAGGGAGGAGACATGAGGGTTTGGGGGGGCGCATCTGATTCAAGCGTGGGCTGGTCATGCGCAAGAGCTGCAATCAACTCGCCAAATGGAACTGGAGCTGGGCCCAAAACAGTACAAAACTTGCTGACTGAGGACATTCGGCAAAGGCGCCAAGACAGAACTCGACGAGCACTTAACCACGAGACGCGTCGTCCCGAAACACCGAGAATAGAGAAGGAGCAGTTCCTACCCATGTTCACCCTTCCCCAGCACACCCACACCTCACAATCCCTCTTCGTGGTCCAGCGTGGCGGCCTGGGAGCGGCGGCATGCAAACATAGAGCCTGGCGTTCAAGCGTGGCTACTGACAGCAAACACGGCTATCCAAGTTTGGGGGGTATGAAGGCAGAAGGGAGGGGAATACCGAGATGGAGGAAGAAGGCGGGGACGCAGGTCGAGAACCTCCATATCGTTTCGACCTCGGCCCTCGTCTACCGAGCACACATTCGCCTCCTACCTGCACGTGCAAATAGCGACGCTGCACATCAACATGGACGGCACATATTGTCTGAGACGACCAAGCCCATCTCTGGCATTGGAAGAGGAGGGGTGCGGAAGGAGGGAGGCATATTCATATATATATATATACACACACACATGTGTGTGTGAAGGGAGGGGAGAGAGGAAAATGACGTCTGGGACATAGAGTGGTAATCATTTGCTCCACTCACCCCACAAACAGCATCCTCACCATCCTCGCCATGATGTCCAAAGAGAGACAAGTCTGCGGTTGCCGCAATCGCAATCAACATATCAATGCATTGGCGATGGCCTCGATAGTGAGCGGAGCTCCTGCTCACAGAGGTGGCGCCTGCCGCAACACGCTTCTCGATTGCATGGGCAGCGACGCACTCCAGTGGCAGCTGATGAAGGCGTCAGCGCCAGGCGTTCGGCTCGGCAGCGGCGGCCTGGCGCGGAAATTCCAAGCCGTAACGCGCTCAGCGAAAGGCTCTTCTACCCGCCGCCAGCAGGTCGCATGAGGAAACAGCCGACACGGCGTTGGCTGCAGGCCAAAAGAGGACGTAATCGAGCGCAGAGGGTACGTCGGCGTCAACCCAGCGCAACAACCAGCATGCCGAGCAGGAGCTGTTGGCACCGCGGGGCGCTCCGCGGCCGCCGCTAGGACCTCGGCCACGGACCGTAACCTCTGCCACTCGATCGGCCGCGTCGTCGCGAGGAGGCAGCGTCCACCCGTAGCGTCCGCCTGGAGCTCCCGCCCACCGCGTGCGCTTGACCGCCGAGACCATGTCAGCCCGCGGCTCAGTCTCCGCTTGCCGTGGGGCCTGGTTCCTCCTGCACTTCGAATAGCCTGCCTGCGACACAGTCGCCGCGAACCACACGGCGTCCGTCCGGCGAGCGACAGGGCGGGCATCGTCCTCCGCCTGTCGATCGGCCTTCTGGGTGGCGCCGGGGAGCGCATCTCCCGGCACCATCTAGGAGGCGCGACGGACTGCCACTGCACGGCGCTGGAGCCGCGCAGCACGGCGCGATGCCAGCGGGATCGCAGCCGCCAACGGGGCGGCAGCTCTGGAAGCAGCCCCGCTGGGAATCACGGCATGAGTTTCCACGACGGCATTTGCGAGTTCCGACGGCAGGAGATCCGCGGCAGCAGCAGCAGCAGTTCCTGGGGCAGCGGCTTCCTCGCCTGCACAGACCTCACTACTTCGACGACGTTTACATGTCCCCTCTCGGGTATTTTCCAGGGCTGGGCTCGGCCCGCAAGGGTGCTTGTCTCGAGACAGGTCATGAGACTGGGCGGCGGCAACAGCGCGCGACAGCAAGCCGAACGCCTCCGGCCTGCGCGCCTCTGGTGTCACAACACCAGATGGACGTGCAGCCGGGTCGGCACGAGGTGGAACACGGCCTTACCAACTAGCACGAGCCTGGATGGGGTAGAACTGGAGCGCCAGCGCGAACACGATGAGCATCACCTTCAGGAGCGCCACGAGCCAGCAGCGCGACGACCGCAGCCGCAGGGCACCTGGCCTCGAGCAGGTGCAGCTCCGAGGGTGCAGCGCCACGTCGAGGAACACGGTCGGCAGCAGACCGAACCTCCACGTGCGCCCCGAGCTACTGCAGCAGGATAACCTCTGCGGTCGACACGTCGAACCCAGGCGGGGTGCCACATCCCATCACGCGCGTAAGGCGACGTCTGCCACCATGGGAGGCCACACCGGATGGGCGACGCAGAATTTGGCAGAACCTCAGAGAACAGTCGTAGCAGAGGCACGGCAAGACCAGCGCGTCTGGCAGCTGTCCCGACGAGAGCTGCAGAAAAGGGAAGTTGCTCAAACCTGAGTCCGGGACGGCAGCTGAAGGAGGAGGGGGGAGGGACGAGGGCGGAAAAGAGACGAGGGAGGGAGACGGAGGGATGACGGAGGAGGGATGAGGGTGGGAGGAGGGAGGAGGAAGGAGGGAAAGGGGGGGAGGAGGAGGAGGAGGAGGAGGAGGAGGAAAGTGAAGGGGAACGATGGAGAGAAGGGAGCAGCAACGTGACGAGAGGAACGAGAGGAACGGTAGGAACAAGCCATTGCTGAAAGGAAAAGTAATAAAATGTTTAAGAATGGGGAGGAGGATCAAGAGAAGCATGCGGGGGATGAGAGAAGGAGAGAAATGAAGGGAAACCAGCGGAGGAGCAGGAATAATAATGGCCCCCAGGAGACGCTCACCGAAGTCTCCAACTTCGCAGTGTTGCCCTGCTTCACTACATGCATAATCGAGCCCCTCTCTCTGGGCAACTCCCACGGGCTGGTGGGGACATGTTTGGATTCGCGGGCGCGCGAAACGATTCGAACGCCGAACGTGCTAAGACGGGCCGCGCTGGTAGTTCAGTGAACAGCAGTGCAGGCGGCGTCGCGCGAAGAGCCGCGACACCGATCAGGCGGCGGCCAGCTGCCGGAGAGCGCCGTCGGCGAAAAGAACTTGAGCGCCGCAAACCTGGCGAACAAGAAGCACATGACGCGCCCCAAGAAGCACGAGGAAAACGCCGACGAGGACGGAGGCGGACGATGGTGGACCGTCACACCGAACGCAGACACCGCTGTGTCTACGTGGAAGACGTAGCCAAAATGGTGCGGAGAAGGCCCACGGGTGGCCGTAGTGAAGGCAGCGGCGTCGCGCAGGTGGACCCCGTGAAGAAGTACAGACGGCAACACTGAATAAGCGGAAAACGAGCAGGAAGAACGCAATCACGCCAGGCGGCGACTGTCAACCAAGTAGCCGTGAGCAGCGCATCCCAAGGACAACTTTGCCGCGCAGGTCGAACTTCAGATGGCCGTCCACCAACACCGTGAGCCCCGCGAGCGCGAACCAGGCTGGCGGGGATAAAGGTTGCTCGCGAGCGCAAGCGGGAGAGCCGCGCGCCGTCACAAGAGTCACGAAAGCCTGAATGCTGCGGCCAACGAAAAAGCGGCGAGCAAGCAACACGCTCAGAAGTCAAAGACAGCCGGGTCAGCGTGCCGAAGGATGGCCCTCAGCGAAGTCGTCCTCAGCGAGCTCGTCCTCAGCGAACTTGTCCTCAGCGAGCTTGTCCTCGGCCACGAGACAGCATGTGCGGAATGCGGGGCTCGGGCACCACCGCCGTCGTCAAGAAAAAATCAAGTGACCAGGCCAGCCTTGGATAAGTGCCCACAGAAGTCCTGAATCAGGGGGAACCCCAGTCGGCGATGCGCGCCGTCCGAACAGTCGACGCACCACGGACCATGGCCACCGAACGGAACCAGCAAAGAGCGACGGGCGAAGGCAAAGGTTGCACTGTGCTGACCAAAGCACCTCCCGCGGGGGGACAGCCGCAGGGAGAGGGCCCTGGCGTCTGCTGGCACTGGCCCCGACGTCACAGGGGGAGCGCCGAGGGCCATGCACGCGCCGTGGGCGGCGGTCGCAGTAAACAGCCGCAGGAGCTAACAGCGGGCAAGCCCGCGCACATCCTGCGAGGGGACAGCCGCAGGAGGATGAACGGGCCAGACAGCCCAGAGAGGCCATCGAGGGCCTAGGCCGCACTGCGGGTGGCGGTCGCAGCTAACAGCCGCAGAGATAGCGAAGTCTTTGGGCGTGCCCGTGCATATCCTGCGGGGGGGCAGCCGCAGGAGGAGATCGGGCCACACGGTCCGGGAAGTTCATTTCCTGCTGGCAGCAGCGCCCCAGGTGGAGCGCCGAAGGCCACGGACGCACCGTGGGTGGCGGTCGCAGCTAACAGCCGCAGAACGAGAAGCACAGCGGGCAAGCCCGTGCACCTCCTGCGGGGGGACAGCCGCAGGAAGGTGGACGGGCCAGACAGCCCGGAGAGGCCATCGATATATCGCCTGGCGCCCGCGCCAACGAGCTGGCACAGTGCTGCTTTCGGATACGCTGCTATCAAGGGAAATTAAACTGTACAAGATCGCGGCATCCTCCAGAAGCTCCCTCGTGCGGCGAGTACTCTGCAACGACGACGGGACACCGAGGACGTTCATCTCCAAGCGGAAGCGCGGCTGGCCGCGGCAGCAATGGGGCAAAGAAGTGCATGCATTGACACAGAGCATGTAGCAATCCCTCCGCGCCCTCCACCCCCCCTGCCTCCTCCAAGCGTGCTGAAGCGATAATTTTCTTCGGCGCATCCTACGCGTGTTTCTTTCTTGGGAGAAGCAGCCAACCGCGCTCTCTTCTGCCTACGCGTCCGGCCGGATGCTTGGCTTCCTGCTGCTGCTGCTGCTGCTGCTGCTGCTGCTGCTGCTGCTGCTGCTGCTGCTGCTGCTGCTGCTGCTGCTGCTCCCGTGGCGTGGCCGGCGGCTTGGGGCGCGCACAGGCCAGCGTCTGGGCACTCCCTCGAGCGGCCACCGCGCCACAGCGGGAGTGCGAGAGGCTCGCCCAGAACGGCCGTGCGCACGCAGCCCGCCGCGGCGGTGTGACCCTCCAGATCGGGGGAGAGGACAAAGAGCATGGTGGGAAGACGATGAGAACGTAAAGCAGTAAGGACGGGTGGTAAGGACGCAGGACCCTTGGAGGCCGAAGTTGGGATTTGCTGGGCGGCGGCCTGAAAGGCTGGCCAGTGGAAGCGGCAAAGGACGGGCCGCAGAGGCAAGGACACAAAGGGTACCCCAGAAAAGGCGCGTGTCCTTACTATGCGCGTTGAGTGTACTCTCGGTTACCGTTGGAAAGAAAGCGTGCAACATCGATCTCCGAAGAGCACGCTCTCCCTGTGGGGCGATGCCCCCGCGAGGGTTCCTTCTGTGCACGCCATCCACCTGCCAGGGCTTCTTCGGTGCACACTATCCCAAAAGCGGGGGATAGTATGTACTCAGCGGGAACGCAAGATTTCCAACGCCAACCATAGAGGAGGGATACGCCTGAAATACCGCCAAGAGTCTCCCATAAACGCCGACAAAAGCTCTCATCGAGCCGTCTTATCCTCCTCAGACCCCCGACGTCGAGATTGGTTCACAAAGTGCTCGGAGGTCTCGATCTCTTCCTGGGCGCCGGTCCCTCATCCGAAATCGTTATTCGGCTGTCCCGGGGCCCCGCAAGGGCCCTCAAAGGCCGAAAACCTACAAACAGCCTTCGGTTGCGATTCTTTCACGATGCGGGCGGGCCTGGGTCATCGTCAAGGCAGGGGTGCGGCGATGCCTGCTTCAGGGCCTTCTGGTAGAGCGCGAGCTCCTCTGGGCTCTGCCAGCCTGGGCGGTGGTTCCTGTCGGAGCTCCGCAGCCAGCCGCCCGTGATCGCCTCGGGCGAGCGGGAATCGCGCGGACTGCCGGCTGGGCCGGAGGGGCGAAGGTGGAGCGGCGAGGAGAGGTACAGGCTTGGTGCGCTCGCGCACTATCCGTCACCCTGCCCATCCCGCCACCAATCCCTCCCCATTGCGCCGACTTCTCTTCTGTGACCCAAATCGCCTCGATCCAAAGTATCTTGGCGAAGGACCCAACCGTGTGCAGCTGTGAGTAACGCAGTTGCGGGTATCGTCCTCGGTGAACCTCTCTCTCTGGGGCCACGACGCGTGTGACGGAAGCGCCAAAATTGGCACGGGTACGCCATGAGGACACTGCCTCCAGAACCGTCGGTGGAGCACCCTATTGGGCCACGAAACGTGTGAGGGGTGCGCCGAAACGCACGGTGGAACCGCTTGCGGGGCCTTCCTCGGAGCACCCTATGGGGCTACGAAACGTGTGAGGCGTGCGCCGAAACTGGATGTGAACTGCATGTGGACCCTGCCACTGGGGCCTTCGGTGGAGCTCCCTATAGGGCCACGAAACATGAAGGTGTGCGCCGAAATGGGGGTGCATGGGAGGAGAGGGAGGAGAGGGAGGAGGAAAGAAGAGCGAGAGAGTGAGTGACGCGGGGCGCTGTCTCTCCAAAACGAGAACCCAACACCACAGGATGGTTGGGAAAAAAGTTCGATGCGGGAATCGCCGCGTGTGCGCCTCTTGTCTGGCGCTTTTAAAAGTCTGAGCGCTGGGTACGAGTGCGCGTGTGAGTATGATCGAGTCTGGATACGAATGAATATGGGCGGAAGTAAGTGTGAGTATGGGCGCCTGGGTGCGAACGCCTAGTGATTATCAGCGGGTCTGAATATGACTGTGTCTACATCCGAGCGAGTCCGAGCGCGATCGAATCTGAGTATGCGCAAATCCAACTACAAGCGAGTTTGAACGAGCGAGCCTTACTGCGAAATGATGTGAAAATGAATGCGCATGGGCATGAGCGCCGACTTGTGAGTATGTATGAATATACTTAACTGCGCATGGATATTAGCGTGGGAGCGTCTGAGTATAAGCGATTGGGTACGAGCGGGTCTGAAGATGAGTAGTTCCGAGCATGTGCTATGTATTACATACTTCTGAATATGAGCACGAGAGAATATGTGTTGTTTCCCCCTCTGGTGGTCGGCCGGGTCAACATCGCCACACCATGTTCATATCACGTTTATCCGCGAAGGCCGGTTCCTATCGAGACGATGTTTGCTTCACGCTTGAGCTCTTGTGCACTTGGAGTGGAGAGGCCAAGCCATGTTAATATCACTTTTAGCCGCGATCGACGGCGGCTCTTGGGAGGAGGAAAAAGGAAGAGGAGGAGGACGACATCAGAACACAAGGAGCAACGCTCAGGCCAACCTGCAATAGGCGAACCGTTGCGTGCCACCAAAACTCGAAGACACTGACAGGCGCCAGCCTAAAGCCGAGGATAGGCCAGTACGTCCGCACTTGAGATTCAGATCCTTCCTACCGCAGGCGCCACCTGGAGCGGACAAATCACGCCCCTCATGCGCACAGCAGCAGCTAGCGGACACCACTGGGATGAGGAGGAAGCAAATGAGGAGGAGAGGGAGGAAAGAGGGGGAGGAAAAGGATGGAGATCAATGAGCAAAGCCCTGCAGGTCATCGTCGGCCAGCTCCTGTGCCTCTGGGCGCCCCGCTAACCAGAAGAAGACGTGTTCCCAAAGTGTCGCGCTCGTTGGCGACTCAGTACCACATACACGGAAAACGGTGCAGGGCAGCGACCACGGACGACAATAACGAAGAGCGGAGTGAAGAGGAAGGAACAAACTCAGATTTGCCACGCTGCGGTCACGAACGACGCGAGGCGAGGATGCGCAGCACAAGCTTCCCTGGCGCATTGCCACATGGCCTCCCACGCGTTGGAGGTGGGCCCGTGGCGCGCCGCTGTGGATGCCGCGCAAAAACAACACACCGCCAGGGCACGGCGAGCGATAGCGCTCGCCGTGTCTTCAGAAAAACGGGAAGAGAAAAGCAGAAAAAGAGACAAACGCTCGTCGGGTGGGGGCGCAATCAACGCCAGCTGCCTGCGCCTGAACTCCGCGATCCTGGAGCAGTGGATGTAATGCTCGACGCTGCCCCCCCCGTGTCCGCATGCAAACGCGCGGGGCGCTGGCCTCTACATGCGGCGCCCTGTAGTCCAGCCGTTGCACATGACGCGGTAGACCGATGCCCACACCCGCGGGGGCACCAGCGGCGCCAGGCCGCGTCGCGCGCTTCAAGCGGCGCCCTCGGAGCACTGGGAGTTGAAGGCGAGAAAGGCCGCGGCCGAGGTGGCGGACGGCGCCCTGCGGGCGCGGGCCCGCCAGTAGAATCCGACACCGCTTCTGCCACGCAGACCTCGGCGCTGGCTCCAGCGTGCCGCCCTGCGCCAAAGCCTCGACTGACGCACTGGCTGCTGCTACCTTATGCTCAAGATGGCCGCGAGCGTCTGCGAGGTTCGCGAAGACATCCTGGTTGCGCCAACCGCGCAAAGAAGGGATCCAAATGCTCTGATTTCAATGATTGACAATCGGACTGAGCCCAAAAGCCGAGAACGACGACGCAGCTGAAGTCCTCCATGAGCTGCGCTCGCCCATCGATGCACCCGGCACATAGCCGCGATCGCCGCCGACGCTGCGTCGACCAATTCAGCGCGAAACCCGAACGACCGAAAGCTCCAGGGCGCCGCCGGGGCAATCCAGTAGCGGGGGTCGGGGAAGAGGAGGGCGCGCGCCCGCTGTTCCACAACGCCCCAATAGGGCGACAAATGGCCCAACTGCAGGAGGAAGAGCACGGGGAAGATGTAGGCGCGGTAAGCCACTAGGGTCAGCATCACGCCGCAGCAAATGCCCCGCCACACCTCGGCCCGGGAAGTGAATTTGCCCGAAGGCTTTGTCCGCGAATGTTCGCCGCGTTCCGGGCCGACGAAGAAGCCCAAGGAAGTTGCGCGCCTGCATATAATGAAGTCACTCCACGTAGGCGCGGCCACCTGGAGACGCTCCCGCACGCGGTCGATTGAATCCAGCGCCAGTGGAACCCAGACCGTTTTTCCGCGGCGTAGTCGCAGCACCGATCATCGCTCGCACTCGTCGAAAGCGCGTTCAAGAATGGAGGCGCCGCCCGCGCCGCGAACCAGGCCGACGGCCAGGTCGTCGACGCAGGCGCGAGGAACGGCGTCTGGGACGAGGCGCGGGAACCTCGGCAAGAGAACATCCGAAAGCACGGCGAAGAGAAGCGGGGAGATGGAGCAGCCCTGGAGGGCCCCCGCGGCGAGCTCGAAGCCGTCGAAAGTAGACCCCCTGCGCGCGACGCGGCACCTGTTATTTCTGCACAACGCCCGGAAGAATGCACGCACCATGGCGGCCAGCCCCGGGCCGCGATGACATCGAGAAGGAACCTGGCTGACGCTCGGGAAAACCGCCTCGAAATCGAAGAGGACCATGGCGGACGAGTCGCACTTAAGCGAGTGGTGGGGCATGAATTTCGTCGCCCATGAGGTTTGCGAACATCGCGCTCCGACGCAAGAAACCCCGCTGGCAGTCGGAGATCCCAGGGGCAACGGTCGGCTCAACGCACATGCGGACCGCGCTGCATATAATCCCGTCGCCTGTATTCGCAATGTTCAAGGGCCGCATGATCGACGGGACATAGAACTCGATGCCGCCCCGATCGCGCGCAAGGTCGGCAGCGCGAACGCGGGCCAACCAGAGGCGACGGCCACGGCCCGTGTGAAGGTCGTAAGGGTTGTCCACACGATCCTTCAGGATGGGACACCGCTGGACGCATTGGCCGACGCCGCCTGCCGAGCCCTTTTTTGAGGCGCGGAGGAATTGCACGGCGTCCCCGAGGCGATCCTAGTGCGCAAGCGGGCCCGCCAGACCCGAAGCCTCAAAGCCGAAGTTCTTGGCAGCCTCGCGCATGGCCCGCCTGAGCAGCACGAGCCGCCGCGGGGGCGAGGCGGAGGTTTCGCTGTCCAATATCTCCTGCCACGCGAGCGCCACTCTGCGCGGCCATTCGCGGCGCTCCAAAGAGAAGCCCCACATCAGGGCGCCGCCGCGGCAGTGCAAGCCGAAAGCTGACGGCTCGACGCCAAGATAGCTCTGACTGCCACTACGATGCTGCGCAAGTTAGCTTCCGAGCAAAGCCTTCCACCACGGCATGATTACAGCAAACGCGATCCAGGCGTGATCGGGAAGTCGGTGAAGCATGCGTCATGTCGGGCTGGTGGAGCTCGTGGAGGCCATGAAGAAATCCCAAATGTCGGTGCCAACGGGTCTCTGCACCGCGATCGCGCCCACCCGTGACGGCAGCGGTGGAGGTGCAGAGTCTGCCGCAAACGTCCGCAACATAGTTGAAGTCGCCTCCGAGGACCGTGAGGACTTGGCCCCTGGAAGCGATGCGCCGCGAAAGCCGCCGTCGGAAAGCGTCTTGGAGTTCGGGGAATGATGGGGGGGCGGCCTAAATGAGACAGCCCCGCAGCTTCGATGTCTTCCAGGGACGCTGCAGCACCTGCGCGGAATAGAAGCACGCGACAACGACGTCCAGATTGCCACTGGGGCCTCGCAGATGCAGCACGACAGCGCGACCCAGGAGAATGATCTGCCAGTGAGGGTCCGCCGCAAAATGCTCGAGGAAGGAGCTCTCGATCGCCACCCCCACCCCCGCCCTGGCGGGCGCGGGGCCTGGCGACCACTAAGATGTGCCGGCGCCGGGGTTTCTCGGAACCTCGCTGCCTCTATTGGGCCCGTGCGTCTCGGTCCAAAAGCCGACGTCGTGGGCGGCCATCGACTTCCCCACGCAGGTCGCCTTCTGGCGATGACGACCGGGGTCTGCGGCGAGGAGGGCCCGGGCGTTCCACGCGATGGCGGGGACATCGCCGAGGCACGGGCTGTCGACGAGGAAAGGCTGACCTCTTGCTGCGCAGATGCGCGGAGGCAGCGCTGCAGGGAGCGCACTGGGGCGCAGCGCGCA